CCGGGCAGTGTGCCGGAGAGGAAGATGGGGGGGGGGGGACGTCACTTTCAATCAAGGCCCCTTTCGGCCCCCGGCCCCGTGAGCGTGTGAGCTGCCTGACCCCCGTCTACGGATCTCGCCGCGCTCCTCCAGTGGGGCTGGCCGGCACAGTCTCCGCCCACAGTTGGCGCGCGCCTCTCGCTGGTCGTTTGTCTTCCGTCGATCCCGGAGGGGTCGTTAGGGGTCCGACACGGGGGGGACGGGATGGGGGGGTAACGCCGAGTGCTCGCTTGTGCTGGCTAATCGAGCCGTGCCAGTCTTAGCAAGCAGTCGGTGAAGAGGAGCAGGGAGGGGGATGTCAGGGAGGGGGGGGAACATAGGAGACCCTTTCACAGAACCACAGGCTGCCCCCCCCCCCTTTTTTTTTTGTGAAAAATCACCTTTGTCACGGGCTCTCTTAGTGCGGCTTTTTTTAGAGCGCTTGACGGTCTTCCAGGGCTGGACTCTAACAGATGGGCCACTCTTTCAGTCACACGCTCCCGGCTTCCACCTCAGAGAGGCGCCAGGCCCGCATGGGAGAGCGCTGCAAATAAGTGCCCCCCCCCTGCAATGCCCCAGTGTGCCCTGTGTCCTGCTTCTCCTTTCCTCCGCCCCCTGATGCCCACCCCTCAGGTTTAACACTGCCAGCCGGGCAGTCAGCCTGGACGTACCAAGTGGTCATCCCTGGGGGACCCCCCCCCCTCCCCCGCCCAACCAGAGGCCTTCAGCAGAGCCAAGACCTGACAGACACACACAATGATGTCACCCTTTCATAGACTCTGGCACGAAACAAAGCTGCTTCACTCTCCACGACTGTCAAAGCACTTTTTACATTGCCCACGCTGACCTCTGACCCGCTGGAGCTAGAGGACACGCTCACACACGCACACACTCAAACTGAAGGGACAGAAAATGCTACCAATGGCCTCATGACCTGTGGTGGCGCCCCCTGCTGGTGTACCCTAAACCAGCTATGGGAGTGTAAGGTGCTGTGTGAGAAATCATGTGATAATCCTGCAGAACACAAACACACCAGCTTCCACTGATCACTGGGGTATGACGTCATTGTGCCTCACACCTAAGATGAGGGCTGGTGGGGGCAGGGGGGCGGGGGCGGGGGCTTTGATGGTGCCGGACCAGGCCTCTCATGTTCTGTCAGGAATGTGATTTATGGGGAGCGGCTGTGTCAGACTGTGTGGGGAGTATGGGGAAGCAGGAGAGACCCCCACCTGTGAGTCCTCTAAATTCCAAGGGGGAGACGGACGGGGGGGAGGGGGGGCTCGCTGCTGTATCCTGATTCTGTGTTTCATACTTACTGTGTCTTTGGCTCTGCTGTTTCAAGCATACATGTGCAAATGCAAACCTCTGCCAGCAGACACACAAGGCAGTGCACAGAGCCAGGAGTGCAGGCCTCACAGCTTAATGCACAAAGCCAGGAGTGCAGGCCTCACAGCTTAATGCACAAAGCCAGGAGTGCAGGCCTCACAGCTTAATGCACAGAGCCAGGAGTGCAGGCCTCACAGCTTAATGCACAGAGCCAGGAGTGCAGGCCTCACAGCTTAATGCACAGCGACACCCAGCTAAATGCACATCGACACACTGCGGCACACAGCTAAATGCACAGCAACACACAGCTAAATGCACAGCAGCACACAGCAGCACACAGCAGCACACAGCTAAATGCACAGCATCAAATATCTCACAGCTAAACAGTGGCACACAGATGCACAATGGTACACAGATACAATGGCACACAGTTAAACATATCAGCACACAGCAGCATACAGGGACACACAGCTAAACACAGCGTTGCACAGATATACAGAGGCACATAGCTAAACAATGGCACATAGATACACACAGTGGCACACAGCTAAACACAGAGGTACACGGTGGGACACACCTAATTACAGAGGCGTACAGGTACACACAGCGGCACACAGATACACACAGTGGCTCACAGATACACAGAGGCACACAGCTAAACAAACACAGGCACACAGCTAAACAAACACAGACACACAGCTAAACTCAGTCACGGAGATAAACACAGATAAAAACAGATAGAACATACAGCCAAACCCAATCACACATTGTTAAACACAAAAATGGCTAAATCCATACTAACACAGACATATAAAGCTAAACAGACACCTCACACAGACAAACACACACACCTCACACAGCAAACAGATAGACTGAAATACCTCATACAGACACACACCTCACATAGCAAAACTACACACCTCACACATTCATGCACACAGCTAATCACCTACCCACACACCCCTCAGCTGACCACGTGCCCCCAGTACTGCCGCACCTGCGACCCCCCAAAGCTACCCCCCCCCCCCCCAAATACCAATAGCCAGTAATGGGAAGGATTTGCTTATACGAGGGCCTGATCCTGATCCGTCCAGCGAGATCCACACGGCAGAGACCGGCGCTTCCGTAAGGGCCCTCTGCCCTGGCACGCCGTGAGCCTGTGGGGGTTATAACCTTCCCATCTAACGACACAATCAAATGAAAGTGAGCGGGAGGCGGGGGGAGAGGAGAGGAGAGGAGAGGAGAGAGGGAGCGTCAGGGGCAGAACAATAAGTGGTCAGACGCCTCGCCCTGCTTCTCCCTGCTCAGACGCCTGCTCCCACAATGCACCACTTTAGCCTAATTTATCTGAGCCGCTTCCTGTCAGAGCCCCCCCACATAAAGCCACACGCGTCCGCACAGGCAGCCGCGCAGCTCACGGCTACTGACAGATCACCAAGGAAACGACCCCCCACTCTAAAAGCGAACATCGGCCAGGGGTCACTGGGATTACTTAACGTGACGCTGCTTTGGAGGTCTGGAGATAACTAGAGGCGAGCCCCTGTGACCTCACATACGCCCCCCCCCCGTCCCCCCGCATGGGCACTGCCGGTGCACACTGCCGTTCGCCAGCCAATCAGCCAGCGCGGTGAGGGAGGGGGCCCCGAATCGGTGTTTACCTGCACAGACAGCCTCCGAGGTCCCAGGTCTAATAACACAGACTGTCACAGCCAGCGCCCCGGCTGCTGGTACAGTGGAGGCTGGGCCACTGAGGTGCCTAAACCAAATTCCGCAATGTCTGGACCGCCACGACGAGCAAACAGCGCCCACCCACCCATGTGCTCGTGCCGAACCCGAGAAAATGCAGGCACGCACTTTTCTGGGTACACACAGAGGCATGCTGGGATACGCACACGCATGGCGCGGTACTGCGTACGCGAGTAAACACCGCCGCTCGAGCCTCTGCCTTCACGGCCCTTAGAGAAACCGTCACCCAGCGTGGGGCCCCCGTGCGGTTACTGTGGAAACGGGAGAATCACCTGAATGGCGCCCCCTATGTGTGAACGGTGGCCATTACGTCACTCTGCAACAATATTTGGAGATCAGTGTGGGCCTCGCAGGTTTCAGCACCTTCCAATATTGGGGGGCGGGAGTCAACAAGCCAAATCCACCCCTCCCCCCAACCTCTCAAACTGCTGACTGTAGTTAAATATTTACAAGCGATAAAGGAAGCGGAGTATACACATGGAGGGGAGGGTAGCAGGCTGGGAGGGGGTTACTGCTGCCCCCCGGAGGACAGAATTAAAACCAGCAAAGTGTAAAGATCAGCCATGCTGTCAGAGAATGACAGAGGACCACGGAAGGGGGACTGGGGTTGGAGGGGGGGCAGTGGGGGGCGACGGGCACCTGGGGGATGCAAACAGCACACAAACAACGAGATTGTGGAGTTTAAACAAAGCCTCGAGATCCGCCAGGCCAGACTTAATGCTGCTGATCAGGAGGAAAACACAAGTTATTTACCAGCTTACGTCTGCAGTATTTATGGGGCACGAGGGAGCGGCACAGGGGAGAGGAGAGAGGGTAAAATATGCATGGGAGGGGGCGGCTGACACGTTCCAGCGAACCGGAGGAGGACCGAGAGAAGGAGAAGGAGAGAGAGAAGGAGAGAGGGAAGGAGAGAGGCGTAGGGACACATCCCACCAACCACAAGCTATGGAAACCATCTTTCCGCAGCAGAGTGAGAGGCAAGAGTGATCGTCTCTGCTCGCGGGCCCCCGAGGCCCTAGCCCCCACTCTGACCCCCAATCCCCCCCCCC